TTTGTCGTATATACCTGACTTATACTAATTTAAACTGTTTTATTGATCCAGGATGTTCCAAGGTTGATTTTTTTAGGTGCATTCTTAGAAAATAGTTACGATGCTTCTCCATTTCCCACAAGGCATTCCTATAAAAACAAGGTGCCTTGAAGTTATTGTTCTACTTCTCATATGAATAGCCCTTGCTCAGTGAGAGGACAAAAGAGAGACTTCAGGCATCTCTGACAGGGTAAGTCTGATCATGTCAGAGATGCATTTCCCATAAAAGGGTGCTTAGCATTTAATTATACATCTTATAAAAAGAGGTTTTTAAACCTGGCCTTATAACTACTAATATTGTAGCAATATTAACCTCTTGTTGCAGAAAGCTAGAAAATGTTCCAAATACGATCCAGCACCACCTTGAATTTGCCACCCTCAGCACGATCCCCAGCTTGCTCCCCCCCCCAAGTTTCTGGAATGCTAGAAAAACCACTGAGCTATCCTAAGGGGAAGGATGCCTTCATGGAGGACTTCCTAAGGGAAACTGGCTCATATACACGTTACACATGGGGAAAACCACGAAAACGCCCATGCAGCCAGCCCGTTCGCAGGATTCGAACCTCGGACCGAAATACCAGTGTTCAGCGACTTTACCGCTCGGCCACTGGTGGGCCAAAACCTGTGGATGGAAGGATTAAAGGTGTTCCCCAAACTGTTAGATATCAAATTAAAAATGAAATATGCACCTTAGGTAAGCTGAAAATTGTTTTTTAAATGAACTGCATGTTTTACTGAGACATCCACTATACTAAAACTGATACAAATTGTTTTCATATTTGGTTCTGTACTTTTACTCTCGAGTCAGTAAAACAATTCAGCAAGAAGGCACTGCAGAGGTACTTACTACAATGAACTGGAAAGAAAATAATCTATGAATAAACTTCTTCAGAACTGTAGATCTTTTGACAGAAAGGGGTTTAAGCAAGTAAGTCATTCCTTTGATATATTCAACATTACCTGTGAATTTAATGGCCCCATCAAGGGCCAGGTGATTAAAGAAGGCTAAATACTGAGAGTTTGACCACAGCCAAACAAACTGGCTACGTGGTTGGTTTTCAAGGTTTACATAAATAAAGCCCACTTCCCTTGGTTACAGCTGAAAACATCGCAGATGAAAACATCACAGAAAAAACACTGCAAGGCGAAAACGTCGTGGTACGAAACTTCGCGGGAGAAAATAAAGCAAAGAGAAAACATCGCAGTTCTAAAACGTCGTGGTACAAAATATCATCAGCGAAAATAAAGCAGTTCAAAAACTTTGCAATTTAAAAACATCAACGTCAAAAATATCATGGTAAAAAAATAAAGTATCTACAAATCATTGCAGACATGCATTTTTCAGGCTTTAATAATTGTAAATGGATATTCACATGATAATTTGTGAGTGTAGGATGGAAAGGATAATTTTTACTTTCATATTTTTTGTTAACTAATTAATTATTTAAAAACAGAACTAGAAATGTAAACAAAACAAGAAATAATCTTCACTATAAGGGTATCAGATTAACAAAAGTGAAGAAAATAACCTCACAAATAGCTTAACAATTTTTTTTTTAAGATTAGATAAGTCATGCAGTTAATTATCTTCCTTTTTCTCTATTCTTTTTTAGATTATACTTTTCATGAAAAATTACCAGTAAAACTTTATAAAAAAAATATTTATTAATGTCCTTTGTTAGTTAACAATGACGGTTTAAAATTAAGTGGTATAAGTGGCATTAATTTTCTATGCTCAAGTTTCCATTTTATATTTTCAACAAATATTTATTAGTTAACAAAAAATGTGAAAGTAAAAATATCCTTCTTTCCATCTTGCACTCACAAATCATTATGCAGGTATCCTTTTACAGTTATTAAAGCCTGAAAAACGCATGCCTGCGATGCCATTGGCATGCGATGATTTGTAGGTACTTTATCTTTTACAACGATATTTTCGACGACGATGTTTTTAAACTGCAAAGTTTTTTAACCACTTTATTTTCGATGACGATATTTTGTACCACAATTTTTTAGAACTTTGATATTTTCTCTCAGCTTTATTTTCTCCAAAAATGTCTTGTTCCACGATGTTTCCGCCTTGCGTTGTTTTCTTTACAACATTTTCATTCACGATGTTTTTCCTACGACATCCTTTCTTTAGGTCTTCCATGAAAGCATCTCCAATTTAGCATAACGAGCATTTATGTGCTTTCTCATACTCAAAAAACTAACCTAACTAACCTTTAAGAATTTAACAGTAAATAAGAAAGGTCAAAATAGTAGGACTCACCAAGGGTCAAATGGATAACCCAACACCAGAAGTACAATATGGGTAGTCTTTCTACTCAATGGGTTACACGCAAGAGACTTTTGTATTTTCCCCATGTTTAATATGCAAGAGATTTTTGTATTTTCTCCATGTCTAATATAATTACAAGCTAATGTCTCTTTGAAAGTCTTCCTGAAGCTATCTATAGCTATACCATGCTACCATTGCTATCCATAGCTGTACCATACCTGACAGCTATACCATGCTTTTTCTTAATCAAACAATGGTAACAACCAAACAGCAGCTGCAATAAGTTTGCATGTGCTTTTAGACACCCAAAATAAATCAGAAAAATATATTAGTTTTTTCTGATGAATTTTGGTGAGTGCTGTCTTCTGTTTTTGCTAAAAAATACCAAGAGTTCTCTAGAAGTACTAGAGTTCAACTAAGAAATGAATTTGGAAGATATTTTCGCCAATCTATTAGTTACTCTACAAATCTATTTATGCATGCCAGTATTAATTGCTTCAGCAGAATGCATTCCAAAGCTCAAATTGATGTTATTTATAATCTTCAAATGAGTGGAGGAAGATGAGCAGGTCTTTCTATTATAGCTGCAGAAAAAAATTAGTTTATAGTTCTGTAGGGTGAAATTAACTTAAAGTTAACACTTCACCTAACACATAGTTATGTTAGCCTGTCGGAAAGTTGATCCGTTTAACAATTATCTAAGTGCCAAACATAAAAACAAATGAAATTTAAATCCAATGAAATTTATGAAGACATTACTGGTGGTTTACAACTGAAATTATTGCACAAATATGACAATAACTTGTTGAATAAAAACTATTACAAATGTGGGGGTCATTGCAGCTAAAGTTCAAATCTTTACAAAACAAATTTTCATCAAAGCCAAACACCTGGTCAATCTACAGTACAGCAAATACTTTGATTCACCTACCAATTCACCTACTATTATGCCTAAACTGACACAGCAGGAACTTGGGTTCAGCAAGACAACAGTGATGCGAAAAAACATTCCAATGGGCTATAGTTTAGGTTAACCTCCTACTTTTAATCAATACAACATGCACTTAAATTTGCATAGCTCACATACAAATTTAAGTGCATACGGCAAATTTAAGTGCATATTTGCAGATATGATCTCAGCAAAATTGCAATATAAGTCAAAAAAGAAAAGATTGGATTTAACTAAAAATCAAAATGTTTGATGGTGCATTTTTTTTTGGAGTATTTAATTATGGCAAAGCACACTATGGCTATCTGCCTAAGGGAAGGGATGCCTTCGTGGAGGACTTTATGAGGGCAACTGACTCATATACACATTACATATGGGGAAAACCCTGAAAATGCCCATGCAGCCAGCCTGTTCGCGGGATTTGAACCTCGGACCGAACTACCAGTGTTCATCGACTTTACCACTCAGCCGCTGGTAGGCCCCTAAATGTTTGATGAAATAACTGCATGCTAAATAAGTAAATGCACTTAAATGAAAATATGCTACGTCTTAAAGACTTTTAATTCACAATGCACAAAAGCTGCATTACATGTTAATAATTTATTTCATCAAGTAAATTTGTCAGTTTAAAAACTACAATTCAAAATAAAACAGTCTTGGCTTAAACTATGTTTCAACATTGCTCAGATCAAAGCATTTCTAGATGGCCTGTCATTCATTGTCAGCTGAAATCCAAATTTTGAATAATTTCAACTATGCGAGTCTTTTCGATTCTTCAACATTTTAAAATCCATTAGTATATAAGAAATATCATATCTATAAATTTATTTCGGAATAAAATGTTAGGTGATGGTAAATTATGAAATTTTCAGAACAGAAATTAAAAAGTAGGATCTTAAAAGGAACAAGATTGAAGAGTCCAAATGAACATCTTTGCAGAGGTTCCAAAAATCTAATGAACCAGTGATTCTTATACTTTTTGAAGCTGCTGCCCCCTAAGGAGCAAAAAATTTTTCAACGCCCCCCATTTGTGAAAATCTTGTAAATTAGGTACGGGAAAGGAGACTTCCTGAATAATACATGGCAAAAATTCTAAATAATTTTTTTCAGTAGACTTACACATCAAATTTGTTTAACTTGGTCACATTCATTCCCATAGCTGTATCCACTTCAGACAAATCTTCGTGTTTAGCAATATAAAAACAGTTCTCACAAACATGTAAAAAGAGACACTTGGTGAATGATTAATTTGCTTACTTTGATACACATATAAAGAAGTGGTTGAAAGTCCAGCAAAAATACAAACTTCACAACTTTTTCCCTTGAAAAGTAAAGCTTTAGAGACTTTTATCCTCACTTTTAAACACCTCTAAAAGCCACATTACACATTTATTCTTCATCTTTCAAGTTATTTAAAACATGAGTAATATGCATATCTTGTATTTATATTAATATTTCATACACTGCATTCCAATGAAATCAGGTTTCTATTTGAGATACAATCCACGAAGTGATAAAACAATAAAATCAACAATTATTGGTAGTATCATATGGACTATTACTCCTTACAGGATATACTATCAACATAGAAATTTTGCATCTTTTACAATGCCTGATAATGTAGAAACTTACATGATTCCACCTACATCACAAGAATGATTATTCCAAAAGTAAGGCTGTCAAATAAAATTTATGTATGTCAGATTGATTTCCAAAAGATATATTTATTACCTTGTTCCATAGTTCTTTCTCTTGGGCAAGGGATGAACATGCAGCAACAAACCAACAATTCCCAAGCATTCCTTGAATGACATCACAACTACATGCACCATCAACAAAAAGTTTTGGATTTGCATGTATTTCCTATTAAATAAGAAATGATACAATTTAGAACAAGGAAAATAACAAACTGTTGCTTATTTTACAGACTCCTATTAAAGATTCTCTTAAAGTTGAAAGAGTAAACACACATTGAAATATTCTAAACATACGTGTTAATTTATAAAATTTAAACATGTCTCTAAATTTAGGTTAAAATAACATTGAATAATGATTATTGGTGGAGTCAAACAACAAGAATCAGTGTAATATTTGTAAATTTTACAGAATTAGTTTCAATGGTTTTAATGGTAATCTGTTCTCGGGATCAGATTCAGAAATGCATGTATGTAAGCATATACGTACATATGTGCATATATGTGTATGCACACATGCATTCATATGTACATATATACATGAACACATCCATCTATACATACATTTCTCAATCTAGTCCTCATAACAGAACAATACTGGTTTAACAACAGAACCATCTTCCTCTGCTGCCTGTAATTACATTAAGAAAATTATGTTTTAGTTTTCTTGTTTCATCAATAGATGGCACCAGTAGCTTAACTTCTGTCTAGCCATTCTTATCTTATCTTACCTTATCACCTTTTCTTATCTTGTTCATTTACACTTAAGCAGCTGAGGTGGTTCCGTAGTTAAACCACTGAAACTGGTCCTGCAAAATTTACAAATATTCTTGCTGATTTTTGTTGTCTGACTTCTCCAATAAACATGCCTAAATACTGATATTTTAATACTAGTTTACTTCAAAATAAAGTTTATAAAAACAAAATACCCAAGCATAGATCAAAATCTGAGGTATGCATATCAGAAGTAGAGAATGACATGCAATACAACAACAATCACTCTACCATAGAAAGCTATTTATATAAAAATAAAATACTTACATAAAAAATACATAAAAAGTTTTATCACATAAATAGAATAAAAAATTATTAAAAATACATCTAACAGCAAATGAGAAAGAGGACAAAATGCATATGCATGCAGAAAGAATTTCAAAATTTGTTTCCTATTATTAATCTATACACTCAGAAGTATACTTCATCATAATATTTAACCCTCTAACCAGCCCAGGTTTGGGGATCTGTCATGAACACCTGTATTTAAAGAGCCTTTATTAGCTAAATATGTATATTTACCTATTTTATCAAAAGCAAAGAAGTAGTACTGTTTGTAGGAGATAAGTGGAATCATAACATCTGAGATAATTGAAACCAATTATTCTGTGCATATTTGCATTTTTTATGGTAGATAACAGGCCATGGCAATCATGAGTGGCTGGCTACATGTGTATTGCCTGCATGATAAGCTGTTGCAGACATTAAAGTTTTGATAAGGTCACAGAGATTCTTATTCTAAAAAATACTTAAAGAGTGTTTTTCTTAATGTTACTTTACTAACCCTTTGAGTGCCATGACCGGCATTATCCGGTCATGAGATTTTTTGTCACTTGTTATATATTAGCTTATAATTTAAGATATTTTTTGCTTTCTTTCATTAATAATATAAATGCCGTTTCACTGTAATATATGCATAATATACTCTCACATAAATGAATAAAATCTTATGTGAAATGGTTTTCATACACTTTTTGTTAATATTGATGATATTAATAAATGCGTTTTATGTGTTTTTATCTTACAAATTTTGAAAACCACATTTCATGTTCCAATTTAATTTTCAGTTAATACAGCAAATTTATCATTAGCTAAACAAAAAATGTACTTATAAGCTGACTGTTAGTTATAGCAGTTAAATTTTAACTAATATACTAACATAAAAATTTTCATATTTATGTATCATCCTATTCGCAGTGAAACTATCACAAAGCAACACGATTTAGCACCAGTCATAGGTAAGTGTGATGTAACAACACACTCATCACATCTGCATGTTTGTTTATATAACCCAACTGATTCTAAATAAGCCTTCTTTTTGTTTTTATGAACAAGGATACAAATAAACTGTTATTATTATTTTGTCTTGTATTTTGAAAAAAAAAAAATTATTTGAGACCTGCTTTCTACAAAACAGCAAGCAGTGCATTACTTTCAAAGTTATGGAATCCTACTATAAAAAAGTGAGTATTAATGGAAATGACATTGTTAGCTGAATAGGACTTATAACACAGTAATAGAATATAACAATTAGCAGTCTGTCGGAAGTTTGTATTCAAAGCATTTTAAACAGAACTTTCTGTAAAATCTGAGGACTTGACAAAATAAAATTCATTAGAAGCCTTTGCATGACTGAGTCAAATGCTGACTGTTTATTTAATGAAGAGGCTTTAATTTATTCAGAATTCTAAAGGAGCAAATTGGTGAAACTTTGACAGGGTTTCCACCAAGTTTCATGGCTTGATGATAGGCAACTTTTCATCATTGAAGGGATCATACACAAGTACCAATATTTGATCTTCTTAGATATATAGCATTATCAAAATTTAATATTCATTAAAAAGAAATAATAAGATATGTTTAATAAAGTATCATTGTTAACAATATATCGCAAAATATAGACATGAAAACAAAAAACTTTTTTTTATATATCAGACTGTGTCATGTATCTGGCTGCACTCAGCCAATCAATTGCCTGCCTCGCGGTAAGAATCCAGCAAGTGAGACAGATGAGAGCTGTCTCCAGAAAGTGTGGTAGGGTGTTTAGGCGCGAGTTCGAGTTTCAATTTTAGCCAACATTGGTGATTCATTTGTAAGGTATTGAACACCTGTATTTCATCTGAGTTATTTTCTTAAATCATATAATATCAACCTCATGTAAATATTTGTACATAAAAGTCCTGCTTCTATATAATAAAGGATTCATTTTCCAATAATTTATTGTGTCATGTCTCTGCCCTCCCGACAAGCATGACAGCAGCCAGATACATGACAGACTGTTACCTTTGGTCTTTTCCATTCCACTTGACCAGGAAGCTGTCCAACATTTCCCTGGGAAAAAAGTGAAGTATCATCAGCAGGAAATTCAGGATCTTCAAATAGTTGTCCTGCTTCTTGGGCTTGATGTTTCAGATCTTCATAAACTTGTCCTTTAAATGGTTTACACACAGGGCTGAATAAATTTGAAGCGAAAGAACTGAAAAGAAAACTGATATATAAAATCAAGGTATGAAAAACAAATATTGAAAATAGCTAAATTTCTTTTTGGGTGCTTACGTATTATTGCAATCACCTCAGTAAAAATCACAAAAAAGTCAGAATGCGCCAAATTCTTTCAACCATCCACATAAATTTTTTTTAACAATCAACATCACCATTTCCATATGCATTCCTTTTGTTGTATTCCTAGTTCCAACAGCTTTCCCAGAGAAATTATGGTTATCTTTTGTCTCAAATTCAATTTTAAAATTTGTACTTGTGGGATTTGCCTATAATAAAAGAAACAGAAGTAAAATTTCTCCAGAAATGCAGTTCTTAGTTGCAAAACTGCCAAAGGAACAATGCTTTGAATCTCTCCTTGCAATTAAAGTGACTACCACAAAATTTCAACCAAAGCAAAAGAAATAAAAACCACTTGCAAGTAGGTTTATTAGTCTAAAGGGGCTTTGTCCCTGAGAGACTACTGTTTTCATTTTGCGATTTTGCATCGGAACCCTAAAAACGGGATATCACTTTTCAAATTGTTGCCACCAAATACTATCGCCCTGTACTATAGAAAAAATTAAATAATGCTTAGAAGAAATTAAATAATGAAGAATCTGCATAAATGTATGTATGTTTCTCGCATTGTGATAAAACAACAGCACCTACAGATACCCAATTTTGAATGATGTAATCCTATTGGGAATATGGGCATCTGAAAGCCCAAATTTGAAGTTTGGAATCTGTTTTATTATTGATTTCATATTTTGTAAAACTTTAGCAAATTTTTTATTAACAAACTCAATAATTTAAAAGCCAGCAATGGCAAACACTTTATGGGGGGGAGGGACTTTTTATCTCCAGCTCGCGGAACCGTGTATCGGAAATTCTAAAGATATGCTCATTTTAAAATTATTTTGTGACATTGCTGTTGAACTGAATTTTATGGTTTAAATGCAAAGAACATGATATTTAATAAATAAAGGTAACACACAAAACGTTAAAAAAACGCCCCTTTGGATATAATTTAAAATCTGAAACCTTTCAGATTTATTTTTATTTTTAGTCCAAAGGAGCTTTGTCCCTGAAGGACTATTGTTTTTGTTTTGCAATTTTGCATTGGTTCACTATAAATGTCCGTTTCACTTTTTCAAACTGTTGCCACCAAATATTAGAGTTCTGCATTATATTTGAAAAAAATTAAATAATGAAAAATCTGCATAAATGTATGTAAATTTCTCGCATTGTGATAAAACAACGGTACGTAGAGCCATCGAATTTTGAATGACGTAATCCTCCACCGAATATGGGCATGTGAAAGCCCAAATTTGAAATTTGTTTTATTATCGATTTCATGTTTTGTAAAACTTGAATGAATTTTTGATTAACAAACTCAAGGATTTCAAAGCCAGTAATAGCAACGTTGTACATAAAAAACATTTTTATCTCGCGAGTCTGTATATCCGGTGATTCTAAAGATATGCTCATTTTAAAACTATTTTGCGATACTGCTGTTGAACTGAATTTTATGGTTTACAAGCACAAATTTTATGGTTTACAAGCACAAATTTTATGGTTTAAGTGTGAAGAACGTGACATTTAATAAATAAAGGTAAGGCACTAAATGTTAAAAAATCCCTTTGGATGTAATTTAACATCTGAAACCTTTCAGATTTTATATATATATATATATATATTGGATAAGTACTTAGTCAAAATACAAAATACGTATGTACATAATAACTTTGAATTTCTTACAACAATAAATCATTGTTCTTCCCCCCTTCATAAAATTCACTAAACTACATGAAGGTGGTTACGCTAATATGTAAGTACTTCTATTTGTGATCCATGGGTTTTTATCAGGTCATCCCATTAGTAAAGTTTACCAGACAGGATTTTTCAAAACATGTTTTACATGTTTAAACAAGTATTTTCATGCATTTATAAACACCACTGAGCAAAGACAGCCTCAATCACATAAATTCTAGCTTGCAAGCATACAGATACTAACTTGTTGTTTTAATTACTCAATATTTTTTTTTTAATTCAGATATTCTAAATAGCAAATTTTCATTTCAGAAACTGTAACTAAATTGCATGTTTAGACAAAACAGATGTATAAAACGCTTACTGGCAAAAGGTGAAAAACCACTTACAAGGAAAAGGAGGGAGGTAAAATAAATAGAAAGGAATTAAAAAAACTACTACTACGACATTAATATTGGTTTCCTCATACATACTACTACGAGTAGTGAACTAATTTTACACAGATTGGCATTTTGTATACATTTACATATCGAAAAAAAAATTTTTATACAGATTCATATTTTGATTTGGTATGCTATATTTCACAATGAAAGGGTACAAGCATTCTAATTTTTTTAGCATACTTGCATATATGATGAATGTGAAAGAGTTTCATCTGGTGTCGAGGGTTTTCATTACTTTCTACATGAAAATAGATGCAAGTCATTAGCTGATATGATTGCACAATGCAATAATTACTTTCTATAATTATTATATTTAAATATCAGAAACTAATGCAAGAATCATGGAATTTGATCAGTCTCATCAATATTCATGTGAATGGATGGAAGGCCAAAAAGCAGAACCCTTGTTCAAGCAGCTGCAAGATATTTTTATGTTAGTTTGCAGAGCCGTAAGGTTTTCGGAAGCAGAAGAAACATTAAAAATTAACTTTGTGTTCACTGGGATTCAAACTATGGATCTTGAATTCTACAAGCCAGATGCTACTACTTACATTACAAGACCATACACACAGAATTCCTTAAAAGTTTTACAAAAAATAAAAGCTTTCTCTACATGCTTATATGATCTAGCTTCATAATCAGAAAATCATAATTCATGCGTTAAAAAGTATTTGAACTCCGAGTTTCGCTTAGAAGCAAAACTATCACACTTCTCATTGAAAATTTCTGCAAAATTTCAAAGAACATCAAACATGAGGGGGGGATGAATGGTGCAAAGTGAGGCATCATTTTTTGATTGTCTGCAATGCTTAGAACAAGGCATAAAAAGTAGTATTTTCACATCACCTTCATCACTACATTTTTACCATACTAATGATTACAAACCAACAGACTTAGTACTCTGTGGTGATGGCGATAAGGAGCGCGCCTTGCACCCTCCGATAAGTGTGGCAACCCTAGAGGAGAAGTTTCTTACGAGTAGCGAGCAGAGCGAAACAGGCAGGCTGTTGGGCAGTGCGCACGAAGTTCCTAAATAAAGTTTAATTTTTATTGTGCACTATGTCTTGTTAATATTTATATTAATGCAGTAAGAAAATAATCTGTGATATGGAATTTGAGGATTGGTGGTAAAAACACAACAGGAAATCTCCATAATGGTAACCCGGACTGTGTTAAATCGTATGAACAGTTCTCAAGCACTTTCGGTTTTGACTACAAGCCATCACTCAAGATCTCCAAACCAGAAGTAATGGATTATACAGATTTTCATCCTCCGAATCACAGATGAGTAGTAATTATAGATCATTTTATAATTCTGTTTCCTACTTATCATTTAATTTCATTTTCTTTAGTTAAATTTTTGCTTTTATTTTGGCTTAAAAACCTTGCACAATGTCTGATGTTCATGCCGTCCAAATTCCGGTTTATAACCGATCAGACCCATCTTTATGGTTTATTATGTGTGAAAGTACTTTTGCTCTTGCCACCCCAAAACCTATCCCAGAATCCATTACTAAATATAATTATGTAGTTTCTCATCTTCCTCCAGATATCGCATCACTAGTACGGGATTTACTTATGAAACCAGACCCTATTGTTCCATATACAAAGCTCAAAACTGAGTTAAATCGTTCAGGAGAATCTTCTCAGCAAGAAATTCGCCAATTATTATCTGGAGAAGAATTAGGTTCTCGAAAACCTTCCGATTTGCTTAGAAATATGAAACGTCGAGCAGAATCTTTAAATGTTCCTGATAACTTAATGTTAGAATTATTCCTTCAACGTTTGCCTTCGACTGTTCAGTCTATTTTTGGCAGCGGTTTCCAATTTAACTGTAGATAAAGCTGCAGAAATTGCCGACAGAATTTTAGAAGTAAATCCAACCCCAGGGACTTGTGCCGTTTCTCGCACAGTCGATCAGTCTCTTGAGGATAAATTATTTAAACAAATAGAAAAATTAAACAAACATATTGATCGCATTTCTCTTTCTCGTGGTCGCTCGCCAAATCGCGGAGATCGCAATAAGGAAAGAAGCAATTCCAAAAGGAGAGATTATTCTGTTTGCTGGTATCATAGACATTTTGGGAAAAAGTGTAGAGATGACAAATGTACAAAACCTTGTTCTTGGCAGGGAAACGAAACCAGCAAAGAATAGAGGCGACTTATTCTTTGCCTCAAGTTTCACATCGCCTGTTCGTTCGTGACCGTAGAACAAACCTTTCATTCTTGGTCGATACCGGCTCTGACGTGTCCTTACTTCCAGCAAATAATTCTCAAAAACGGAATTCGTCCCAACAAACACTTTTCGCTGCTAATTCTTCTACTATTCATGTTTATAGTCAAAAAACACTTTCTTTGGATTTCAAATTAAGACGACAGTTTACATGGATTTTTCTTATAGCAAATGTTAGTACACCCATTCTTGGAGCAGATTTTCTCCATTTCTTTGAATTGGTGCCTGATCTCAGAAACAAATGTCTCAAAGATTTAAAAACGCATTTTAAAACCGTCGGTTGCGTGAAAAATGCAAGCATTTATTCAGTAAAAACTGTATTTAGTGATACACCATATCACAAAATTTTAAAAGAATTTCCTTCAGTTACTAGATTACCACCGTTCATTATATCATAACTAAAGGTCCACCTGTGGTTGCAAAACCTCGTCGGTTAGCTCCAGATCGCTTAAAAATAGCAAAACAAGAATTTCAAACTATGATGCAATTGGGGCATTTGAGACCTTCGAGCAGCAATTATGCATCCCCACTTCACATGGTTCCAAAAAA